TTTAAATTTTCCCTCCTCTCCCCTTCCTGCACGAAAAGAGGGGGGCGGAGGAGGGAAGGCCAAATAAATAAATAAATAAATAAATAAATAAATAAATAAATAAATAAGCAAACAAGCGCGGCCGGGCCTTTCAGAAGAAAACCGAATCGTGTCTCCTGGCGGCCCATCTGTCGCGCAGGCAGCGGGGCAAAGGCGGGCGCGCACGGAGACAATGCGGCGGGCAGCGGGGAATAACGGGGGGCAGCCAGGGAATAACCGGGAGCAGCGAGGGAATAGCCGCGGGCAGCGAGGGAACCACCCCGCAGCCTTCCCGCGGCTCCCGGGACAAGATCCCCCCGCCAGGCCCCGCTCGGCTGGCAGAAGGGGCGAAATCGCGGGGAGACAAATGAGGGGGAAATAAGGAAGCTGCTCCCCGGGCAGGGGCTGGATCCCGGCCGGAGCGGCGCAGCGAGCGGCTCGGGAGGCAGCGATCTCTCGGGAAGGAAGGGGAGGATGAAATGCCCCTTTTTCCAAGGAGAGCCGCCTAAGCGGGCTCGCCCCAAGGCCCGCTCGTGCCGGGGAGCCCTTGCGGGGCGGACACAGGAAAACGGGAATTAGCGGTGGCCGGAGAAAGTTGCTTAAAGGTTTCTCTGCGGCGGGTGCTGCATTTTCTTTTTTGATCTGGTTTTATCCACGCGTTTGTTTTCGGGGATCCGAGCTACAAATAGGATTTCTCTCTCCCTCTCTCTCTCTCTCTCGTTTTTCTTTTTTCTTTTTCTTTTAAATAAGCCCATTCCTGTGCTACCTGGAAAAGGATATAGTGTTAAGGCTGCTTACCTCGGTGGAATCGTGTGGACAGCCTCTCTTCCCAGGTCCCCTCGCCCCCTCGGCGATTCCTTTACAGTTCAAAGGCGGCTCCGGGAGCGGAGCATGGAAAATTTAAAAAAAAAAATTAAAAAAGTAAAAGATGAAAAATAAAAATAAAATGAATTAGAGGCGGAAAAGCATCTTGCTCAGACGGGGAAAGGCAGGTCGCATCCCTCGCCGCGGCCTCCAGCGCTCCAGAGATGGGAGATGTTATCGCAGTGTTTGTTTGAGGAGTATAAATAACAACTTAAGTTACTTACGATGCATCAGGGGAGAAAAAGCGTTTCCCCCATGAGCGTTTCCCCCATCAAAGTCTGTCTCTGCCCGCGAATTCGGGGCAAGGATCCAGAAGATACGGGCAGCTGTTACGAGTCGGAATTACATGGGGGGGAGGAAAGAAAAAAAAAAAGGAAGAAAAAAAAAAAAAAAGACAGAAAAGAAAACGTGTCGGAAAGTGCCGTCTCGCCTCCTCTTCGTGCTCCTCTTGGCGATAAATAACAAAAGGGATGCGGAGGGAGCCCCAGCCGGGATTTCTGCGGCTCCCCCGCCCCCTCGGCCTCTCCCGGGCGCAGGCGGCGCGGGGCTCCCGGCCGGGCACCCCGCGAGCGGCGCCCACAGTCGCTGCCTCCTCCTTCTTCCTTCCTTCCCCCCTCCTTTTTCCTTCCTTTCTTTCTTCCTTTCTTTCTTTCCTTCTTTTCTTTTTTTTTTTTTTTTTTTTGGTGTAACGTGCAGCTTTTTTTTTTTTTTCCTAATTCACTGGTCCGGCGGAGACACCGCCAGGGAATAAATGTTCGCCTTAGTTTCTCTTCTGATGCTTCAAGAGCTGGTGAGAGGGGGCAAAAGGATGAGCGCAAGCCCCATCCGCCCCTGTGCTTCCCAACTCCTGCATCTCGCAGGTGAGGATGAAGGAAGCAACAAGCAGCTTAAAAACAAAGAAAAAAAAAAAAAAACTGAACCGAACCTGAAAAAAAAAAATGCCACGGGCTTGGAAAGGCTGCAAGAGATAACGTCGGTACAGGAAAAAGATGCAAAAAGAAAGTATAGTTCCTGCCCGCCACCCTTCCCAGAGCAGCAGTGAAGCCAAGGAGAGGAATGGAAGGAACACGACAGGGATGGACGGATGGAGAGAGCGGGAGCTGCGTGTGGATCCTCTCCTGGTAGCAAAGGGGGTTCAGGCTGGGGATGCTTGGAAGAGATGAAGGCTCAGAGAAAAGGGGATGGCATTTCCTCTCCCCCCCCTCTTAAATTGATATTTAATGGGAAATCCTATTGGACAGAAACCTGGACACGAGTCACTTAATTGGACTTGACATCTGTCACAGTGTGGGAGTTTTCACAGCCCAAATATTTTCAGCAGATCAGATTCTCGCTGAATCTGTGCCACAAATTATAACAGTCGAGAGCAGCCCATGGTATAAACCCTAGCCTCTGGATATACAGTCTCCAGCCCTGCTCGCCTCCCGTGTCGCCTGCCCTGCACACCCCCAAAGGAAAGGAAAAGATTGGATACCCACTGATCTAGAAAAACACCACTGGCATTTCGCATGCAAGCTAATAAATAAGCTTTAAACATCAATTTGCATCATGTGCGCCGAGCACGCGGAGAATCGCCGGGCTCTTTCCCTAGTGCATTTGTTTCTGTGGCCCCCACGTCCCCCCGTGGCGCGGGGCAGGCCCAGCCCTGCTGGAGCCAGAGCAGAGGGGCAGAGAGGCCCCATGGGCCCCTCTGAGACCCCGGACGGACACCGTGTTGGGGGCTGCGGCTCTGTGCCTTTCCCGCTCGCCAGCGGATGGATGGAGCCCGGTCCCTTTGTGCTGGAGCCAGGAGGGCCTGGGCGCTGAGGGGGCACTTGCCAGGCACCTAGGCACAGTCCCCTCCTGGCCCACACACAGGTTTGATCCCTCCTTCTCCCCCTTTCCCTCCAAGCTCAACCCATCAAACGGGGGCTCTAGCCACTTTTCTCAGTGTAACACAGTCTTCCTCCCTGGGAAATTTACCTGTGCGGAAGGGATCCCTCTGGATCCCCCCCAACATAGGGAGAGGTGCAGTTTTCTGCTCGGAGCTGAGCTCACCAGGCTGCTCTCCGTGTCTCCCTGGAGCTGTTTCTCTCCCTGGATCCCAGCAGTAAGGGATGGCGTGAGGGAGAGCTGGTAGGAAAACACTTGTAGGGATGCTCACTGGTCATCCGGTAGCATGTGCAAGGGGCTGGGAGCTCTCTGAATTGGGAGAGGTTCTGCTCTTGTAAGTCTTTACTATTAATGAGTAACAGGCTTCAGTAATTTTGGTATTTGTGGATTTTTAAAAAAGTGATAGATACCAAGGCAAAGAATACGGAGTCCAAGCATGGCAACTGACACAGGGCCGTTCAATTAGAAGAGGAATTCTCTACTGGAAGACTCTCATGAGCATTTCTTCCAGAGAAATTTGTTTTTGTTTTGTTTTGTTCTGTTTTGTTTTGTTGTCTCTGTTCTCCCACCTACAACAGATCTCTAAAGACCATGTGTCTGTTTAGGGGCTTTGACTCTATATAATAACACTGAATCTACAAATATCTAACGTGGTTCCTGTCCCCAGAAGGACTCTGAAGATGCTTGGCTAGGCAATCTCCGAGTGCCATGGGCCCTGCTTTTCAAGGCCCGCTTTAGAAGGCAGACAATAGAAACCCAGCACAGCCTCTGGTCTGGAGAGCCTGAAACGCATCTCCCCTCAACCCACCTGCTCAGTGAATCCTAGCAGGCGTGCTCCTAATTTGCAGAAAGCCTCCTGACAACCTGGAGGGAAGGAGGCAGGTATTGCCGTGAGGTCTCTGCTCTCCACGGAAAGGGGAGTTTCCCTGGTGGCAGCTCTCCTTGATTCTGAATCCTCAGGGGGTGTTTTTTTCTCCTAAAGGTAGGGACTAGGTAATTTTCTTTGCCGTTGGGAAGAGAAGTGAACACAATCTCACCTATGGTGCCAGAAGGATTCAGATGTAAATTACTGAGGCTGTGGCATGTCTCCCTTCCACGCAGCTCACAGCTAACCTGATGGATGGCAAGTGTGAACAGGAACCAGAGAGGTATAGCAAGACTCGGCAGTTTTCACCAGGAATGCTAAGGGCAACTCTGTGGTGCAGTCACAACACAGACTAGAATCATTACAGTGAAGTTGGAAGCACAAGTGGGTAGACATGTCTTGGAGGAGAACACAGGAATACATTTTGGGATTATAAATTTGGATTACACTTTGGATTACAAAAATGAGCTGTCAGAGCATCTCTTTCACTTGTCTTGAGACATTGTTCTGATTGCTGGGGACACGGGAGAAGTGGACCTGCACTTCTGCAGATGGCATTGCAGCTCACAGAACACCCATCTGCCTCCTGGTGACTATGACCTCCTGCATGTCATGGGAAGGAAAGGTGGCCAAAGAGAGATTCAGCATCAGCAGAAACACAGCCCACTTTTGCAGGGATCATCTCACTGAAAAGCAAGAAGGAAAACACTCTGCTGTATTCCAGGGCTCTTTGGCATGCTAGTAAAACTTGTGACCTCGATTGCTCACTAGATAAGCCTTAGCACAGAGCGAATCTCAGTTACTTTATTAATCATTCAGTTAATTTATTAATCACGGTGAATAAAAGTTATCCACTGCTATAGCACTTACAGACCATCAGTAACATGTCACAGGCCACCAAGAACTCTCAAGTGATAGATGGTGGTGAGTCTGCAAGAGACTAATAAGCCAGGGTGCTCCAGGGTATCAGTGGGATTGTCCTCTGGAAAGGTGAGAGCAGAACAGGCCTTTCTTCAGGATGTGGTCAGAAGGGGCAAGAGTAAAAACACTGCTGCCATGTCATGGTGCTTTATGGGAAGGGGATATCACTTCTCTGAACATCTCAGGTCATTTCTTGTCACAATTTGAAGGTAATGTCATTCATGAGAAATGTCCTCAGCTGGCCTGTAACCACTGGAAGTTTGCGACAAGGGCACAGCCATAACCACTTAGACATCTGTCCCGTGGAAATGTCATTTTGGCCCGGGAAAATAGAAGAATGAAAGAACCCAGCTGGGCTCTCCAGCACTGGGTAATGTTTTAGAACAACCTTTTTTGACTTGTAATCTGAAGAAATCTCGTAGGGCCGCCATGGAGCGACATCAAACCTGGGAGCCTACAAAGCCACTTTTATGGAGTTGCTTGTCAGAGCAGAGCGATACTTTCATTACCCACACGTCCTCTGTCTGCCGAAAGGACGGCTTTCTAGAATGCTTGAGAACATTCATTCTCTTTTACAGCAGACGCCATTCGAGTTGCTGGCATATGCTGCCCATTGAAATAAATGGAGCTTGTCACTCTTGGATGTGTTCCTTGAAAATAAATGGTCAAGCAAATTAGAACACTGAGCCATGGAAAGCCTTGTCCTTTTGAAAAATCTGCGCTGGATATAGTTCAGTGGCTCTGCTTGTTGTTTCCTTGGACATTTGGGTGATATTTTTTGTTTTCTACCACTCATTTTTGGCTTTATCTAAGCAGGGGGATTGAGGCCGTTTTAATAACGAGTTGGGAGCTTTGAGGCTGCTGGCAGGGCCAGCCTTGAACTGGGGGATGGGGAAAAGAACATAGCTCCCCTTCTCAGCCACAAGCAGAGTTACGGGGCTATCAGGTCTGCATGAAAGGCCTCCCTGGCTGGGGTCTGCCCACACGTGCTGGGCAGACAGGCCTCTCCAGCTGGTCCACTGCAAGTGTGAGTGTGACTGTCCCCATTTAGACTAGTCATCTCCAGGATAATACATGGTAGAAATCTATGGGTTTTGGACAAAATCCTTTTCTTTGCATCTACTTCCAGCCTTTGGCTAATGTCCATTGGTATCTGTTTTTGTTCCAGGCCTTTGCTTTACCTGCTGGACTAGACCAGCTGTGACACTAAGACCAACCTCCAGCTGTTACTCTAAAGAGCCAGGTGCTGTTATTGGGATGTTAAAGACTCTTCACTGCCATATGGTTTTGACATCTCCAGAGATCATCCTTGCAATATTAGTTAATAT